GTTTGTCTCTCTTTTCTGTTTGTCTCTTTTCTATTTGTCTTTTCTGTTTGTCTCTCCAGCAGGGGCAGGAGCATTGAGGGCTGAGATCTGTGTAGGACTGAAGGAATTTCCAGTGCCCAGGATCAGGGACTCCTCAGCTGACTTCTCAAAAATCAAACCAGCCTTTTTCCTTCTCTGATGTGGTTTCAAAAGCTTAATGCATGAGCAATCAATGTTCTCAGGTCCCTGCCTTTCAGACATCCTACACCGTGGGCTAATTCTGAGTTGCACCACGTAGTAGCTTCCTGGAAATTTAGGAACCTAATGTGGGAGATTCAGCATTATTGGTGAATTAGGAGGAAAAAAAAAAAAAAGATAATTTAGCTTTGTGAGTTGAATGCCTCCTTTTTGAAATATCCTCCTTTCACGAAAGGTCCTGGTTTTATTCATGGAAAAGCAGATTTTGTTAGGGCAGTTGTAACTACTGTGGATTGGTTCGGTTTCAATTAATTAATTCCTGTAATCTGTGGATTACAGGTTAGCTCTATTTTTGGCAAAGCAGGGTAGGGGCAGGACTTGCTAACAGATTGCCCTGGAAGTGGCAGATGGCATCCCTTACCCTGTACCAGCTTTGTAGGGCACTGCTTGTGAGTGGTGGTGAGATGTAAAACAATACTGCCTTTTGCTGAACTCCCTCATTTGCTTCCAGAGGAGAGCTGGAGACTCTTCCTCTTTGCACTTGTCCTTTTAGAAATGCTTTATGGCTTTTGTTTTTGGCACTTTTGTTTTTGGTTATGCTTTATGGCTTTTGTTTTTGGCACTGGCACGCTCCCTGCCAGCTCCAGGTACAAAGTGGTACCTGTTCTCAGTATCACTTCTCCCCATCCCAGAAGTTACTGCGTGTCTGCAGCCAGCTGAAGGATTTTTTAAAGGAATTGAGGGATCTTTTTTGAGGATGGAGGTAGCTTCAAACATTTCCAGACACTGAAGTTACCATTTCGGTGAAGTCTTCAAAAGGCTGCTTTGTGTTTTACTGCTTGTGCCTTCCACACTGAATTGCTTTGTGGGGTTTTGCTTGGTTTTAATTTTTATCTTACGGAATTGAAGGAATTTGGAATACTAACATGGGCTTTTTCCCTCTTTCTCTCCCCTCACCTCCTCAAGAACCTTTTTAAAACGCTGGGGTTGCTGGAGTGGTTGAATTTTTCCTGGCTTTGAGTGAGAAATTCAGAAGACTGAAGCCCAGGCTCACTGTCTACCTTTCACGGAGGCCCAGCCGTGAGAGGACAGAAGAAGGCACGTGGCGAATCATGACAGCAGACAAGGAGAAAGACAAAGACAAAGAGAAGGACAGGGACCGGGACAAGGAGCGGGACAAGCGGGACAAGGCGCGGGAGAGCGAGAACTCGCGGCCGCGGCGCAGCTGCACCTTGGAGGGAGGTGCCAAGAACTACGCCGAGAGCGAGCACAGCGAGGACGAGGACAATGACAACAACAGTGCCACCACCGAGGAGTCCACCAAGAAGAGCAAGAAGAAACCCCCCAAGAAGAAGTCGCGCTACGAGAGGACCGACAACGGCGAGATCACGTCCTTCATCACCGAGGACGACGTGGTGTACAGGCCCGGAGGTGAGGAACGTGGTAAAATGGTAGAAATCTCATTTGGTGTTGGCTCTGGTGCTCCAGGGCTGGCCGGTGTGCTCCTGGGAACCGGGGTTACCCCTGTCCTGGGCAGGCTGCTGCCTTCCCCTTCGCACAGACGTGGGTGTGCATGGAGAGCTCCTGGCTGTGTCTCGTGGTGTGTGATTTGTGGGAAGGAGCTTGGCTCCCCTCTGGAAAAGAGCCACCCTTTCTGCTTCCTGCTGCATTAATTATCTGTGTATCACATGGAATCTCTGTCCCTGGGAGTTTGGGAACTAAATTGGATAATGCATTAAATGTTTCACTCCCACTTTGGAGCGAGACCTGCTCTGAGCTGGGGGTGTGGACGCATCCTCAACCTTTCTGGCAAGCTTTTCTGGGAATCTCTGATTGCTCTGGGAAATAGAACCCAGATGAGTGAGCATCTCAGAGCTGCTCTTGCCCTGGTTTCACCCCTCATTCCTGGCTGTGCCTGTGCCCAGCTGTTGGGCAGAGCAGTGCTGGAATTGGGGATGTGTGGGGACAGCACCAGCAGCCTGCAGTGTGCTCTGCATGTCTTGGATGTGCCTCTTAATTACTGCCAAGTTCACAGGAAGTTCTTAGGCTCTCATGTAAGGTGTCAAGGTCTAACCTGTGCCTGCTGCCAGGGAATGTTTTCCTCAAACTGCCCTTGAAATGAGATCACCCAGCTCCCATTTGTGAGTCCAAGCTTCCCTGTCTGTCTGCACAGCGCTTTGAAAGTGCTGCCTGGAGTTTGTTCCCCACAGGCTGGGGTTGTTTTGGCAGCACTGCTGAAGGGCCCTGGCAGGTTCATATCCTGCTGGGGCAGAGCA